ATCGATTAGGACGTGCCCTGGGAATTTTAATATTCTATTGAAATTCTTATTATTCTACAGAGAGTTTTACCAGCTGAGCTGCTGACGCCACTAAGAGATCTGTCAGTCAACAAGCGAAAAACGGATACGCGTCCCATTGCGTACGATACGCCCAACAAGCAACCGAAAAGTAAGCCACCAATTCATTCAAATCATTTTTAACTTATCACTTTGGTATCTCTCGTACGTTGAACAGAGTTTGACGTTGAAAGCTAGTTATTGGCCTCATTGGTCTCTTGAAAAAGGAAGCGGATATGAAAATTATGCACTCATCGAAAAATAAAGTACATGTACGGGGAGGGGTTATGGAGGACTAGGTTGGGTGGGAAAGGACGTTCCCTTAGACCCGGTTCATCCGTCGTGCTATCGTCGCGCCGAGCCAAATAGTCAATTGGTGTCGACCCAAATATATTTGGTACGGCGTTGATTCATACGTCGAACCAAATGCAGTCAAAAGCATAAGAAAAGGTCCGATAATACGCAATTTACATCCATAACTCAATTGATTCAAACGTCGAGCTGTTCATGTGCTAAATTCAAACTATTTGGTTCGCCGCGACGCTGGCTCGACGTATGAACCGAGCCTAAGGTACAGTACCATACATGTTCTTTGTAATTTCGGTAAGAAATGTTGTAAAATGTATCTCGTTTTATTTAGTTGCAGAACTAGCTCGCAAGAACGAAGAAAAACCTCAGCTAGGGATGTTACCGATAAGGTGAGTTCTGAAAACGCCATAGACTATCGGCGTACAATGCGGTCGTGTTTTAGATTTTTCATATATGGAAAAGGGTGGGATTACTAAATATCCACTCGGAAATCTGTGTTCATCCGTCGGTTTCATTATGGAATCTCACAATATCTTCATTCATATAGCACAACAGGAAAATAAAGAGTAATTTTTTCCTTATATTACGATGTATTTTTATTTTCAAACATATAAACAAGCTCGAAAGGGATGCTGGTGGACCATGGTCCTTTATCGAATAAATCAAAAGCTTAAAAGATAGTATACTTATGATCCTTCGTNNNTTGACTATATTTACCCATAGTTCCTCATGCTTGCTTGAGTATTCACCCATGGTACTTTGTGTCAACAGGAAGCCATGAATCGTGAAAACAATAGGAAGCTATTTGGTTCCAAGATTGTGGTGGAGTTTGTCAGAAGCAAGGAAAGAGGTGGCCCAATAAGTGCTGTATGTATTGAAATTTTATCATAATTTTATCACAAATTTTGACTCTTTTTTTTTGTTATAAAACAATGCCGTGTAGAGACCTCTGTGTGGCTTACGACTTTGAGAAAGTCTATATAGTAGTTAGTATTTTCCTTTTAATTATTTAAATATAATTATATATCTTTGTTTTTTCTATAGGCAGGGGATGAATGTTTCAAGTGTGGAAGACTAGGTCACTGGAGAAGCAGCTGCACAGAGTCAAGAGGTGAAGTAGACCACTGTTACCATGGTGATGCACAGTGGGGTTGCCATGGTGAAATAGACCAGTGTTACCATGGTGATGTTCAGCTGGGTTAAAAGGGAGAGATAAGTAACCTCATTCCCAGATTGACGACTAGTTATTCTCTTCTAGCCTAGACTCTGGACCCTATACAATCCCAGAATTCCATGAGTCCTTCTAGCCAGATTGAYGACTTAAATTTTTCTTCGAGCCAGAAACCAGCCTAGAATTGAATATGAGTCCAATTTCGTTACCTGAGCAGCAAAATTTTACTGTGTAAGACAACAATTCAGGTTGACCAGGAGTTTTATCRTAGTGCTCATCTATCCCAAATCATCCCAGCATTCTCTGAGCTGCTTGGGTTCTGTTAAGTTGCACTCCAGTAGACAGCCAGACTATAGGCCATCTGACAACCTGGACACCATTTCCCCCCAGAATTCCATTTTGAGTCTCTAATGAGAGCGTAAAACGGCCACTTGATCCTTGGCGGGTTCTGTTAAGTTGCACTCCAGTAGACAGCCAGACTATAGGCCATCTGACAACCTGGACACCATTTCCCCCCAGAATTCCATTTTGAGTTAGGCCATCTGACAACCTGGACACCATTTCCCCCCAGAATTCCATTTTGAGTCTCTAATGAGAGCGTAAAACAGCCACTTGATCCTTGGCTTTGGGGATTCATTGAAGACCTGAGATAGCTGTGACAACAAGCGAAAGCCGGGAATAGCATGGCCATCGAAGATACTACAGTAAATACCAGGGGCATCCTTCCAATGACGGCCATCTTGAATGAAGTTCCCAGTACTATAACTTCAGCTTCACCATTTGGTTTTGACTTCTAGCAGACAGCCAAGCCCCCATCTTTCCCAGAAATCCATCTTTTAGTTATGTTTGGTAAAGTAAACCTTTGTCAGCAAGTGTAAGCTTCCTGGTGGAACACYTTATTGTTTTGCTCACAACCCAGACCTCCATTCCCAGAATTCCTTGTTTGGTCGCGTGTCATATCTGTGCTGGTCTTTGCACAATGAAGGTTTATAGTAATCAAGGCTTAACAGATGCATGGCGGTAGTAAATTTAGWTAAAAGTTTCTCTCAATTTTTACTTGCAATTTGGACCATCTGAAGTCCCAGTTAGAGTCTGCAAGAGTTTAAAATCAAATTGAATTTCATGTTTWACTAAATGAGACCAAGCACAATGTACTACCTCRGGCAGCCCATMCCATGCATCTAAAAATCCATGTGATCCAGAGAYCATATTYTAGTCGCACAGTGACAAGATCCATAAGCTAAGGCCCTTTGTGACAGTTTSCAGGTACCATTTCCTTGATACTGAATCAGCCCAGGGACCATATCCAGTTGATTGAATGAGTCTGTGAGCCAAATCCAAGTTGCCAGAATCATACATAATCACTTCCAGGGGATTCAATAAACTTCAGTACCAATTACAGTGTATTTGAAGTCTCCTTGTGCCAAATCCCAGCTCTGATATTCATCCAGGCATCATTCCCATGATCGAATATGCTGAGGAACCTATTCCTATACTTTGAATGAGCCCATGAGCCTAATCACAGTTGTCATAATAGTCCAGGCACCATTTCCGTGATTGTGTTTAAAAGCCCAGGTACCATATCCTATACATTGAATGAGGCAAAACCCAGTTGTCAGAATACATATTCCAGGCACCATTTCCATGATATTCAATAAGCCCAGGGGCCATATCCTATATGTTGAGTGAGTCCATGAGCCAAATCCTAGTTGTCAATAGTCCAGGCACCATTTCCAATAAGCCCAGGGACAATATCCAGGTTGTTGAAAGTGAGACTTAAGAGTAATCCCTGGAAATGGTACATGTATTTTGAAATGGTCGTCGTTCATGGTAGTTTTGTTGGGGAAGGGAAAGATGGTGACAAATTTGAGGTATTTTGAAAATGCGTAGGGTGAATGATATTTTGTACAAATTTTTATGTTATTTTACCTGGTGATGGAGTCTAAACAGAATCTCATTGGAATTAAACTTGGTTTTTAGGTTCTCCACCACGTGGTTCAGGCAGATATGGAAGGTATGGATTGACTCATCTTTCAGTTCCATGCGGAAGTGATTTAATTATAGTTTAGTGTACAGCCATCTGATTTCAAGTTCTGCCAAAGTGTTCTCCGAAATAGGTGACATTTTGCCAAGAAACTTCATCCTCTGTGGATCTTAGCCGACTTTAATGGCACATTTATCAATATGGATGTGTACTTTGCAAAAACGAGACATCATTAGCCAAAAACAAAGCATTATACTTCATGAAAAAGCAAAATTGTTAACAATGTTTTCATGTACCAGATCACCACCTCCATTCTCAAGGCGACCTCCACCAAGTGGCCGATTTAGATCCCGTTCAAGATCACCAAGGCGATTTCCTGAGCCACCACCTAGACGGCGCAGRTCAATAAGCCCCCCAAGRCGACCACGTGGACCTCCTCCTGCCAGTCGCAGTAGGGACCGTTATCGACGATAGATCTCTCCGTATACCGTTGTATAAACTCCAATGTTACCTCTATGKGCTCTATTAGAAACCAMTATCATTAGCACGCTGTAAATCCATGAAACAGCTAGTGCGAGGAACACAGCTGGGAGACTTTGGAGTATTCGTCAGATAACACAAAGGCATACATAGTGACACTATACTTAACACTTTTAGTTTAATATTTTATTATATCAAGTTTTTCCCTTATTTGTGAGAACTATTCCAGTATTTCATGTTCTTTTTAAAAATGATAAAATTCAATATGGCTACTGTGTAATGGATGTATAGCTAAAGCACAGGCAAACCAGACTGGTGTGTGTAGCTCTTAGTTTGGGTTGCCTGGGTTAAGAAATGAATTCATTTCTTGTACATCTGTCAGCCTTGTTTCCAGGTTCTCTTTTTAAACAAGCAAAGAAGCCTGGGAATGACGTTGGTTTATCTGTGTCGGGGTTTTCAAAGCTCAATACTTAAGCATTAATCCAACGTTAACTACCTAGTATATAAAACAGGTTCAACTCATAGATGGTGGTAAGATTTAACTCTTGGTTACAGGGTTCGTGCTATTCCTTGAAGTCCTTGAAAAGTCCTGGAATTGAAAACTTGTTTTCAAGGGTGCTTGAAAGACCTTGAAAATGGGGAAAATTGCTAAAACTCCTGGAAAACTCCTTGAATCTGATAAAATTGACATGTTGCTTCTTAGCTTTTGGATTGAAATTTGGCTGTTTTTGAAAATCGCCACTTGAAAAGTCCGCAAACATTAAAAACTACATTCAAAAATACTCCTTGAAAATCACATTTTTGTGCTTAAAAAGTACTTGAAAGTCCTAGGATTTTTTGTGAAAATGTAGCACGAACCCTGTAGTTAGATTTAGCTTCAGAGTTAAGCCAGGGTTAGAGTAAATCAAGCTTTGAACACTGCGAYACTATATTAGGCTCATACAGTTTTATCAGTAATGTCATTGGCAAATTTTATTCAGTAAAAAGGTTTACATTACAAATAGCAATGATTTTGAGTTTTTTGTTGTTGTCTTAACATTAATTGTAAACTATGAATTCTTTTTCTCTCTCCTGATACACTTTATTTAAAACATTGCCAGTTCACCAAGGGATATCATCAAATCTAAGACTGCAAGGGATTTTGGGTATTCAGAAATTCAGATCATATTTGTCTAAACATGATACATAATAGCATTGCTTGTTGAGGTCATTTTATTTAGAGCAGACAACCTTGTGACACTGAATCACTCCCTCCCAGTTTTTATGAAATAGCCTTTCTTGAACCTGACTAAGTTTTCTTTCAATAGTCTTCTTCACGGTTCCCTGCGCCATCTTGAAAGGTAGCCGTGCCTTTGCATCGAAGCGAGACAACCGTTGAGCGTGCAATGATAGATATCTGTGAATAATTGTCTGTAGGTGAAAGAAGGTTTCTATCATTGCACGCTCAACGGTTGTCTCGCTTCGATGCAAAGGCACGGCTACCTTTCAAGATGGCGCAGGTAACCGTGAAGAAGACTATTAGATGCATATCCTTTGATTACCCTAGTCTCCTTTGCAACCTTTGAGCTTCTTTGGGGTAGTCTCTCACAGCCACAACTTCTGGTTTCGTCCAATTTTTGGGGAGGGACAGGAAGCCCTTTGGGGAGGACCAGGAAGCCTCAAAAAACTGGTGCAAAGGAGACTATTATTACCCTTACGACTGGAAAATTTCATACTTTAGAAGAGTGGAGGTGAGTCCATATATTACTGTACATTAATGTGTGAAATGCAATATCTGGACTGTTATGAAGAAATCAAACTTTAATGCCATGAAGTACAACTCATAGAACCCCTGACATGAGGGAGGGGTTGAGGATAACTCTTGCAAGTTCACAGTTGAGACAAACCAAAATTCACATAAGATCTTTKTTCCCCTTAAAAGGAGGTTAAATCATCTTCCAGTTGTCTTTTTTCCTATAATTTTCATTGTCTTTAGCTCTCTTTTAATGTTCAAATTCTTTCATCATCTCTGTCCCTTTTCAGGTGTTTGATACACAGGTGCATTTGACCTTGGCAACGGTTGGTTGCCTAGGATACAGTCGGCCATCTTTTCTGCTATCATTATCGTGGGCGCATTGAGATTACCGCTGACAATACTAGGCATTATAGATGAGTCAATAACACGTAGATTTTCAACACCAAATACGCGGCCTTGGTTGTCGACTACAGCCATGTTGTCATCAGAGTCTCCCATCTTGCAAGTGCATGATGGGTGGTATGCTGTGTCTGCGTATTGACGGATGAAAGCATCAATTTCTTCATCTGTCTGGGCATCCTTACCTTCAAAGGAAAATCATTATTGATAACAAAATAGCACAGCCAATGAAATAGAAATGAAATCATACTTAAAYGGATAATGAAAAGTCTGTGATAGACCTTGTATAAGAGTAGATTTTGGGAACAGTAATGAAACAGAGATAATCGTGGCATTTTGGTGTTGTCTTGACACCTTTAGAGCAAACACAGGAAAATAATRAAATAAAATMAAACTAGATACAAACAAAAAGCGGCTATTGAGAGACAATTTGTCAGTTTCAATAAACCAGAATGCAAAGAAAATCATGAATCCACATGCCTGGGACCATTTTTAATTCATCTTGATTGCATTCTGGTTCATTGATGWCAATTTGTCTAGCTTTTAGCTGCTATTTGTTAGTATTTAGTTTGATTTTATTTCATGGTTTTCCGATATATATCTTGGCCAGTAAAAAAATCAAGATTGCCTTAGCAATAATAGTACCTGGTTTCAACTCCTCACCACGGAATTCATCAAATGCTTTCTGYTGGAATATCTCCCGTGACAGACGGACACATGCCCTCATCTCTTCCCAGTCCTCCTGGGTTGACATGTAATTRAAGTCTATGATTGGATGCTCACGTGGGTTGGCTGATTTTAGTTTAATGTAACCCTTACTCTGTGACCTCATGCTACCAACATGTACCTGAAGTTAGAAGAATTACATGTATTTATAAAGTATTCTTATGTGCCAGATGACTTTAATTGTTGTTTTTCTTTATTTCTTTACACTGAAAAACGTTATGGAATTAACTGTATCATCAGGAGATTTTTGGAAAAGCAAGCTCAATAAAGTTTACCATTTGAGCTTTCAGTACAGTATTCATCAAGTGTGTAATGACATAGCTATAAAAACTGTTTTGAAAATTTTCTTTGGCAAATGTTTTGGTAACTTCTAGGCTATGAAGAAATGACTAGCTTTTGTCACTCAAATAACATTATATCCGGAAGCTACAGCTCTTTATGTAAGAGACAGGAAGATGGCCTTCAAATCAAGGACATTAGACTATCCAGGAGAGTTGACAGCTATTGATTTAAGACATCAAGTGTCGTGTACTCACTTGGTAGGCATGTTGATCAATGGGTTTCCGCCCATGGTCAATYACACCAGACGGTAAGAAATGGAACTGAATGTTTGGATGAGGAACACTTTCTCTACTTCTGATAAATCCCCCTGCCTCAAGATGAGCTGTAGCACCAAGTCCTGACTGGAAAAGGAACCATCGTATACCAATAGGTACCATATTCCATAGCTTCTGAGCACTGTATAGAGTTATTGGCTTTTTGCAGGCCTACAACGACAGGATTATGATTTAATAATTTCAGAATAGTTTTTCGCTGTCCGGAGTTCATTGTTGCTATAGAAACAGTCTGGTAATCATAGAGATATWACTCACCTGCATCAACCATAATTCCAAATGGTCTTGCAAGTTCTGGCCAACTCCTGGAAGATGGGAAACCACAGGGATCCTGAGCTTCTTGAGATCATTTCCATCACCAATTCCAGATAACATGAGAATATGTGGCGAGTTGATTGCTCCACCTGATAGGATGACTTCCTTGTTAGCTCTAGCTCTCCTTATCTGAGAAATACACGTAGTACATTTTTAGGTTGTGTTATATTGTAAGATTCAATATTGGAGAGGTTTAGCATGACGTTCACGTCAAACGTCAAACGGCAGAAAAGATCACGTGACCTGCTTTTTTTTAGTTTAACGTTGCAGTTTCAACTCGAATGCGGGTTATTTTGAGGTTGCCATAATCGTGAAAAGCCGCTCTTTCAAATRACTACCAAAAGCACAAGGTCAGGCACGAGATTCTTAGGTCATTGGTTCAGCTCTGCCGTTAGCCGTTTGCCGTCAATGTGATGCTAAAACTCTCTATTAATTTTGACAAATTACTCCAGCAATCAAGTTTGTAACAGCGTGATTTATGCAATTTTGRAGTGGGAATAAATGCTGAGAAATAGTGGAAATTTGGACCTATTTTAAAATATTCCCTCAATAGCCTTCTTCATGGCTCCCTGCGCCATCTTGAAAAGTAGCCATGTCTAATTGCATCGAGCAGGACAAGGGCATAGGGTGTTACCTGCCACATTCTGTTATACATCAGCATCTCTAGATATATTAAATTATTATATAGATCTATTTAGTCATCATACAGGCCTAGCTACCTGATTATCCTTGTGGTATTCCACACCCACAGCTTTGTTTCCTTCAAACAGAATTCTTGTAATGAATGCTTTGGTTTCTGTTCTCAGCTGTTTCCGTCTTTTMCTAAGAATAGGTCTGAGGTATGCATTTGCAGTGTTCCACCTCACCCCTAGTAGAAAAACATTGCTTAGATATTTTCAGGGGGCAAAGTTTGAGGGGGAGGGGGTAGGAAGAGAGGGAGGAGGTGGAGATTAAGGGATTAGAAGATGGTTCAAAATCTAATGCCCTAATTATCCTTCCCCCTAGCCTCATCCTGGATCCAGACTGCAACTATTGACCCCTTGCATGTGATATGATGAAGTCATGTGATACTTCATCTYGAGGAAAAAACAAAAGATTTTTGCTTTTATTTGCTTTCTCTTTGTTTTGTCCTCTAKGGACGGGTTGTTCAAAGCTTGATTTTGCTAATCCTGGGTTAAATCTTAAAAAAAACAATGGAATTTACCCTGTCCAGTTGGAGCAGCCTGCATTTCCATGGACTACAATGGGTCTATTAATATAGTACAGCATCTACAACTGGGAAGTGCAAATAAAAATCTTTTACATGTACACCAAATCTATTSTTATYCTGTCTTCACCTTTATGTATTGTCATGTCCATCCAACCCACTCCTTCCTGTTGGYAGCCATTCATGTCATCAGTGAAGGGATAGCCGGCTTGTTGTGATGCATTCAAGAATGCAGTGAACAATGCATTCCCTGTCTTGCCTCTAGAGACATGTAGAGGACCATCCCCCCCACGGTAGTCATCTTCACCTTTGTGAACAAAATTATGAA